AAAAAAAAAAAAAAAAAAAAAAAAAAGAGTAAACATTACCAAAATGTTGTATATAAATAACCGAAACTGTTGAATAAAATGGTGAGATGAAAAAAAAAAGTTGTAGAAGCGAAGAAAAAGAACGAAATATAATAAAGTCGTAAAGTCGTGATATTGTGTTGAACATATCCAGATGGTTGGCACAAGAGGGAAATAAAAAAGCATGAGAAACAAGTGCTTCGGGAAAAAAGATACAAGTCTAATCTATCAAAGAGGGTTACAAACCGGATCTTCTCTTGATATCCTCGACAAGCTGATTGTTCTTCTTTTCATTTTTCTCCACAATCAAGCTCTTCAAGCACTTGTTTTCCATTTCGAGGGTCTTGACTCTCAACTCCAAGAATCTCACCTTCTCAGCCAATGCCTGGCTTTGCTTTTCAATCTCCTGCTCTCTGATCTTCTTCTTCACACGGAAGCGGGCGGAGGCCGCGGTGTTCCTTCTGCGCTTGTCGGTTTCGGAGGCATGCACCTCGGTGGTGACCGCGGCCGGCGGAAGCATACCCTGAGGGAACGAATCGTACTCCTCCTCGAGCTTGACGCTGACTGGTTGGTAGCTGGAGAGGTTCAACAACTCTTTTTCCAAGTTCATGGTAACCTGCTGCTGTTGAATGAACTGGGTCTCCGCCGCAGAGGCACCCGTCGGCGACGCAAACACTGGTTTCTGCTCAAAGCCATCGGAGCTCACTTCAAAATCAAAGAAGTTGGCATCTGTAAAGAGGGCCAAATCGGTCTGGCCAGTGACGGGGTTTGGGGAGCCGAACGAGTCCGCAAACTCGAGATTCAAGTTAGCAAGATAGTCGATACTTTGATAAGACATGGTCAAGCAGGTGCTTCGTTAGGTGGGGGGCAAACTTTTTGGAGTGATAAATTCTGGCGTAAGGAAGAGTGAAGAAAACTTAACAAAAGCGGTACAGAGGTCGACCTTCCTAACGAACTCTCGCGAGGGTCTGTGGATGAGTAGCCAATTTAGAGATTTGTCAGCCACAACCTGCGGGCGCGGGAAAAGCAACAAAGAGGGGAAACGATACCGGCGCTTACCCGGCTAAAAGCGGTAAGCTACCGGAGCGATTGCGCACGTTAAAGTTTACCGGAGAAAATTTTTCACCATCCAGAGTCAATCACATAAGGTGTTCGCGGAAGGCGAGGGAAATATCTTTTGCCGAAAAGACGAAAGAAGTTTTCGCGTAGAATATAGGGGGAGATTCTTTTTCGTCGAAAAACGGCTCTTGGAGCTATACATTGTTCTCACGTGGTGCCACTTTGGAAATATAAAAACCCTCAAGCACTGGCCAACAAGTCACCAATAACAAGCCGTGCCATCATGGTTCTCTCCCAAATAAGTAACGTACCACACGATAAAAAAAAACAACCACTGCTTGATTTTGGCGTCTACTGGAGCCACATTTGGCAACGTGGGCTAATTCTGTACCAGCGTGCGGCGCAAATCACATGACAGAAATATTTTGTAGCCGATTTTTTCTTAATTAATTCTTGGCGTGAGCAAAACCGTTTATCCCTCACTTAGTCTTATCCACTACACACCACCGTATCACACCACCTCCTAATGGCCAAGTCTAGTTAATACAACTTCCTAAACATTATTCAGAACTGCCGGTCATCATTCCTCATCCGAGATAGCAACTTCCTAGCAAAGCCCCTTAGCATTGCCCACCACCAACCAACCGATTATGGTCCTTTACCCGCACCCCGTTACTTCTAACCTCAGACTCTAAACACATGTCTGACTTGGAAAGCTCCCGCGCCCCGTCGCCAGCGCCGTCTGCGCACAGTTTTGATGACGGCAGATTGCATGATCACCGCTACCAGCACTCGTTGCCGGTGCCCACCAACCGCCGTACGTCCAGTGATCTCACGGACGAAGAAGCACACAGTATCTTTGGAAACTACGGCACTGAAAGTAACATGAGCATGAGAAGTCTCCACCAGATTCCGTCGAACGCGTCGGGGTACGACCCCATTGTGTCGCGCATACCTCCAACCCAGCGTGTCTGTTCTCGCACCCAGTCGGTGGGCGAGGCGGGCAGACCTGGTGCCTTCAAGCACAGCAAGAACAACGCTAATGCGGGGATTCTCCTCCACAGCCAGCGCTCCAGACGCGGCCTGGCAATGTCTGTATCCTCCGCCGAGAAGAACCCGCGGTTCACAAACCTGAAGCGTGCGCGGCGGATGTCGCGCTCGTCCATTGAAAGCGAAGCCGATTCCATGAACTCGCGCTCGTCTCAGGAAACCGAGGAGGATGTGTGCTTCCCCATGGTCCCGGAACATGTGCGGATCAAGGGAATTGATTTTGATGAGATCGAGGAGTTTATCACGGAAACCAAGGAACAAGACCTTCTTTTGGCCCAGCAACAGGAGATTATCAATAATGGCGGGATCGTGGGAACAAGCTTGAACCCTGTGGTGTCCTCTACTAACGAGCCACAGCCCAGCCCCCACAAGCTGTCGATCTTGAAGAAATACAGTACCGCGGCCGCCAAATACACCCCATCCTGGGGCCGAAACGAGAAGCTTAGCTCAGAAAGCAGTGCGGCGTCAACTAGATCCCACGGAAAATCCGACTCAGCGCAAAAGACCTCCGAAGACTCATCTAGCGACAACGTCAAGTTCACCGGAAACAACATCCGATACAACTCGGACGACATTCCCGACCGGTTCTCCTTCTTCTGTTCTGGCTCCGAGGAAACTGTACACGCTCCAGACTTCCCCACCTTACTTGAGCCGGGCCAATCTGCTTGCGACCTCTTCCGCAATGGCGAATCCACCTGGTGGCTTGACTGTGTATGCCCTACGGACGCGGAAATGCGGATGCTCACAAAGGCGTTCGGGATTCATCCGTTGACGGCGGAGGATATCCGGATGCAAGAGACCCGAGAGAAAGTGGAGCTCTTTAAGAACTACTACTTTGTATGCTTCCACTCGTTTGAAACGGACAAGGAGTCCGAGGAGTTTCTCGAGCCGATCAATGTGTACATGGTGGTGTTCCGCGAGGGGATTTTGTCCTTCCACTTCTCGCCCATCTGCCACCCCGCCAATGTCAGACGGCGTGTGAGACAGTTGCGGGACTACGTGGATGTTTCTGCCGACTGGCTATGTTACGCGTTGATCGATGACATTACCGATGGGTTTGCGCCGGTGATCACGGCCATTGACTACGAGGCTGATGCGATAGAGGAGTCGGTGTTTGCGCGTGAACTGGATTTCTCAACCATGCTCTTACGTATTGGTGACGCTAGGCGCCGTGTGATGACGTTAATGCGCTTGCTTACCAACAAGGCGGACGTTATCAAGATGTTTGCCAAGCGGTGTCAGGATGAGGCGGCTATTCCCAGCAACTACGCCCCAGCGGCCTCCATCCACAACTACGCCGGCGTTCACTCCGACATCAGCCTTGCGGGCTTGCAGACAGGCGGTGCGGGAACGTCTGGGGCTGTAGGGGTCCAGCTGGGAAATCCCCTTAGTCGTGCGCAGCCTCGCAGCGATATTGCATTGTATTTGGGCGATATTCAGGATCATATTGTCACCATGTACCAGAACTTGATGGCGTATGAGAAGATCTTCTCTCGATCCCACTCCAACTACCTTGCGCAGTTGCAGGCCTTGTCGCTCAATTCGAATAACCGAATCAACGAAATGTTGTCTAAGGTGACATTGATCGGTACGATATTGGTCCCATTGAACGTGGTTACTGGGTTGTTCGGAATGAACGTGACGATTCCAGGCGAGAGCCAGGGTAACTTGAAGTGGTTCTTCGGGATTGTAGGCGTTATCGTGCTAATTGTCATTGTCGCGTCCACGATTGCAAGGTACTGGCTCAGCAGGCCTGAGAAGCTGGAGTACGAAGCAGGCCCCGCCAGTAGGTCGCTCTTCTCCTTCCGGTCTAAGCGCTTGGGCGCCCGCTCCGTGCGGAGTTTACCCAGCAGACGCTTTAACCGCTACGAATAGGAGTTTGATTTATTGTTTTGGTTGTATAATAGAATCGTTGAGAACGGGAAATATGTAAGGTTAAATCAAATCGCATAGTCTGGGTGAAAAATGAGATGCAAGGATAGCGACAGAGTTGTACCACTGACACTGCTGGCCTTTGGGGAAAGTTTTTCCTACACAATTATTTATCGGGTGATATTATATACCGTCATTTAAGTGTCACATGTTGAGCTTTTCGTACAACAGATCGTAAATTCCGAGCGTTTGCGCTTGGATTAACGGTTTAAATATATCTGAGCCCTTACCTTTGAACCACTGAGGTACGAGAGAGTGAAAAATTCTCGCGGTACTTATAATTACAGGATGCCAGTGCACGTTTATCACCGGAGATTGGGTGCCAAGGCTAAAAATAAGCGTTTCGTTGCAGATGGACATGCACTTGGCCACAAGCACGAGGTGAAAAAACATATGCAGCTAGGAGGCAGACAATAACCGAGCATGAGAATCAGTCACCATTTATCCGTCTTCTATCCTGTAGTATTATTCTGCAAATAGTATCATGCTCTTTGAACCGTTCATAAGTCTATCCCAGCCTGAGTATGAAAGAGTGGAATATATAATTTGTTCTTACCATTCCGCATGCCAACCCAAGAATCTTAGCGCAACGTGCTGCGGGGATGAAAGCTTGTGCTCATGCAAGCCTTGAAAAAGTTTTTTATGCATATGCGCCACTTTACTGCCTCCAGAAAAGATGATAGGCCAGGCGCATGCACCGTGGGTTATTCCAGTATTACATCCTCAGACTGTAGACACGCGAATCTCAAACCTCCTGGTCTTATGCATCTCTAGTATCTCCGAGCTGCGTTCTTCGAAAACCATGCCTGTTACGCTAACCCTCGTGCACAGTATACTTTAGGTCTGGCTATCACCGTTTGTCCGACGATGAACGAGCAGCTTTGTTTCTGGCTAAGGCGGGACATAGGGCGATAAGCGGCGCGCGGACCAAAGTGCTGATCGCTGCGGAAAAAAAAAGTATCAGGCCGTGCGGCATTTAATCCTCTACAAAACATCGAAAAATAGTTGGGCAGTATATATATCAGCGAACCGCCAGACTAGGGAAAAGGTCCTCCTTCATCTACTACCTAGCGATAACTGTTTCTTTATTTCATAAATTATGGGTTAAATCAAGCGTTATTCCAATCCCTCCAATTAAAGAAATGTCCTCCCCTCACAGCGCACCACAGCAA